TCGGAACCCCTGACCTTTCCGCCCTAGAGGCCTCAGTTGCATTTCAGCTCCAGGCCCAGAAAAGCAGCAAAATCAGACAAGCAAGCCCATGGCCAACCTCAGGACCCGCCACACTGGGGAGTGACCCCGGCCCTGGTGCCCGCCCATCAGCCCGTGGAGACCGGACCCCGAAAGGACACCCCTGGAAAGCTGCTGAGTGTTCTGCTGAGATCTTCCCCGGGGCCTCCCCTAACGTCCCACCCGAAGTCCTTAGGACAGAGGACCCCCCTTGCCCTTGCCTTTCCCTTTCTCTCCCCCCTCCCCTTCCCTCAGGCACATTACCTTTCCCCTCCTCACACTCCTTTACCTTCTGTAAGTTGTTTCCTAAGCCCATTTTTTCTAAAAATTACTTCTTTTACCTCTTTGATTTCCCAAATAAATGTTCTCTCACAGTTTGAGTCTTGGTTCTGAAGTCTTTCCGAGCCAGAACTCAAGCACCAGGTCCGGTCTGACTCCACGGGCCTAACTGCTGGCGCCGTTCCCACCGCCTACAACAGGGACACGCAAGTACTGGGCACAGTCCCTGTCCTCCCAGCACCTCCGGTTGGAAGGGGGACAAGCAGTGGCGTGCCCGCAAAAATTCCCACTAGGGAGGGCGGCCGTGTCAGACCTGGAGGCGGGAGCTACGGGAAGTGCTAAGGCCCTGGGGTTGGGGCAGGCAGGTGTGTGAGAGCGGTAAGGAGGGCTGGGGGGCAGAAATGGAGGGCAAGGGGGGCAGGGCCTTCAGGGGGCAGGCCAGGGCCCAGGGGAGGGTGGGGCTGATGGGAGGCCTCCAAGGAGACACCTGGGGAGCCGGTGCCAGACGTAGGGCCTACTGGGCAGGGGTGAGCGGCAGAGAGGAAGGCAGGCATCCAGAGGCTCCTGGGTTCTCAGCTTGTGCAGGGTGCCCCCCCGCACCCCTCCATTTTGGTTCCCTCTGCTGGAACCTTCTATTACAGGGAGATGACCCCCACACCCTGCCCCTGCCCCAGGCAGGGTCCAGACAGGCTTGCCTGGGGAAGGAGAGAGCAGGGAGGGACTCCCCAGAGGTGGGAGTGGGGCCCAGAGGGCAGGGCCTTAGACCTCAGAGCCAGCGCCAGACTCTGCCTGTTACGACTGAGGGGGTCCCCACCAACGCACCCCACAATGTGCCTCCGCGGCATCAGACTGTGTTGAGCTAAAGGCACCTGCAGCCTCAGGCTCAAGAGGACCCTGGGCCCCTCCCCTCACTGCCCGGGGGAACTGAGTCGGGGGCCTCGCCCAGAGTGAGCCGTGGTCGGCTTAGCCTCTGCCCATCTGTAGGCAGAGCAGGTCTCTGTTGACCCAGCACCCGCTCTTCTCGTCCTGCCAGGCCCTGACGCCCAGCACTATCTTGTCCCTAACTCAGGAAGTGTGTGTGTTTTTAATATGTTTTTATTGAATTCAGAGAGGAAGGGAGAGGGAGAGAGAGATAGCGACATCCACGATGAAGGAGATTCATGGATCTGCTGCTTCCTGCACGCCCCACACTGGGGACCAAGCCCACAACCCAGGCCTGTACCCTGACCTCCTGGTTCAGAGGTCGATGCTCAACCGCTGAGCCAAGCTGGCCGGGCTCAGCATGCCTTATATGCCCATGTTCGTTTCTGCCTCTGATCCTCTCGTGCATGTGGGGTCTGACTCGCACGTATGCAGGCTTCTCATGCACATGCGTGTCCCGAATCTGGGTAATTTCTATTGCTCCTCTGTCTGGTGTCTATTTCATTATTAGAGCAGCCAGAGGCACCCTGGGGGTAGAAGGCAGTGTGTCCCTCCCCACTCTACCCAGCCCACTCACCCCCAGCTCACTTCCTGCACAGCACCCCTTGCCTGGCCCACATGCCTGGGTGAGGGCAGGGCTCATACCTGCATGCAAGCTGGAGGGACGGAACTGGCCCGGTCCCGGACCCCTCCTGGCCGCGCCTCAGCTGTCTGAGGGTGTGCCTGCCGACGCCTCAGCTCCCCGGAAATGCTTTGTGCATGAATACATGACCTTGGGCAGGTCAGGGAACCTTGCACAGTCTCCACCCTGTGGGGTCGAGACAACAGCTCCCATCCCCCAGCCCAGGGTGTGAGGGGAGGCGGATGGGATAGATTTGCACAGGCACAAGCCAGAACATGCGCGCACACACACAATGCACAGATGCGTGCACACACGCACACAGACGTGTGGAGGCTCCCGCAGCCAGGGCAGGGGCCTGGGCACCTGGGTGGGGAAAGAGCTTGCATTGTCCCAGTGGGGCCTCCCCCTGATCCATCCAGTAGCAGAGCACTTGCTTCCCGTGGAGTTTGGGCCCCTGGATGGGTTGAGGGGCATTGGGTGGGGATGAAGGGGTTTTGTTTTTAGTTTTTAAGTGTGTTTTTATTTATTTCAAAGAGGAAGGGAGAGGAAGAGAGAAACATCGACAATGAGAGAGAATCATTGATCGGCTGCTTTCCGCAAGGCCCCCTCCTCCGGACCAAGCCCACAACCTGGGCAGGTGCCCTGACCAGGCATCAAACTGTGACCTCCTGGTTCATAGGTCAACACTCAACCACTCAGCCACACCGGCTGGGCTGAAGTAGCTTTCGTGGTGATGGTGGGGGAGCAGAGGCTGGGGGCTCGGCCTGGGGGGCTGAGACCCTGAAAGAGGGGCTTCTGTCATGGGCACCGTGCTGGGCAAAGGGTTAGAGGCAGAGATCTCTGGGATTCAGATGGGGTTGGTCCTGCCTGGGCAGAGAGATTGAAGGGCAGGATAGGTTGTCTGAATGATGGGCCTTGAGAAGGGGGAGCCTTGTGCTGAAGGCAGGACCTTCCCTCCCCTT